CTACTATCACAAGCAAACAAGCGTACAATGGCAGTGGTAAGGTTCATTTAGGGGATGGTTCAATTGTGGCAATTACTCATATTGGTTGAAATATTTTTCAAACTTCTTATAGAGACCTTTTGCTTGATCAGACGCTATATGTTCCAAGAATAAACAAGAATTTTTTGTCAGTTTTAAAGTTTACTCAAGATAATTCAGTTTACTTTGAGTTTCATGCAAATGTTTGCTATGTTAAGGATGAAATCACATGAGTCGTGCTGATAGAGGGAAGACTTGATGGAGGATTGTATAGCTTTGATTGTCAAGTTCTGGAAGAAACAACAGCAGTCCATAAAACAACCGTTAAAGATACCAGTGAGTATTGGCTGTGGCATAAAAGACTAGGACATCCTGCAGTTGAGGTGGTGAAATCAACACTTAATAAACGTCTAAATGTAGATAAAACTGAAGTTTGTGCAGCCTTTCAGATGGGAAAAAGTCGAGTTATGCCATTTCCTGTGTCACAAACAGTGTATAATTGACCCTTTGAGTTGGTTAAAATTGATGTATGGGGCCCTACCCCTATTGCTTCTAGTAGTTTTAGATATTTTGTGAGTTTTTTTGGATATGTACTCAAGGAATAACTGGGTATATCTTTTAAGGAATAAAAGTGAAGTTGTTATTGCCTTTGAAATGTTTGTTGCTTTAGTTTCAAATTAATTTAATTCAACAATTTTAGCATTACAAACAAATAGTGGATGAGAGTTTCGATTCCTAGAGGCTATCTCACATCATCTTGGTGTTAAACTGAGGAGGTCATTTCCTTATACCTCACAACAAAACGGGTAGTGGAAAGAAATCACAGACACATAGTTGAAATTGCTCTAGAACTATTGGCACAAGCATCAATGCCTCTAATGTACTGGTCTTATGCAGTCTTTAGTGTGGTCTATCTTATTAACATGATACCCTTGAAGCTTCTTGGTAATTTTATCCTTATCAAAAGTTGTATGGTAAGCTTCCTAACTATAGTTTTTTGAAATATTTGGTTGTCAGTGTTTTCCTCATCTCAGGGTGTTTAATACACATAAGATGGACTTTCGTTCCAAGGCATGTGTTTTCCTAGGCTATTCTCCAATGCATCATGGTTATCAGTGCATTTATGGAAATGGAAGAATATATATATCACGAAGTTGGTGTTTAATAAAAATGTTTTTCCTTTTGCTCACAAAGCATTACCCTGCAGTAAATGTGATAATGTGATGTTTCGATCGAGATCCTTACCGGTTGTTTCTAATCAACAAGGACATACCAGGCCTGTTCAAGGATCAAGTTCTAATAATGATCAGATTTTAGATGCAACTAATGTTGATCAATCTGAAGCTACAAGGAATAAGACAGATGTGCAGTCTGTAGAACAAACGGGTGATGTTTCTAGTCAAAAGTTTTTTTCCATTCACTGTAAAGATGTACCTGAAGATATTCAAGATGCTCTTAAAGATGATGACTGAAGGGTGGTTGTTATGGCTGAATACAATGCTTTTCTTAGTAATAACACATTGGATATTGTGGAATTACTAGATGGGAGAAAATCCATTGGTTGCAATTGGCTTTTTAAGGTGAAGAAAAATGTTGATGGATATGTAGAAAAATTGAAATCTCTACTAGTTGCCAAGGGGTACTATCAGATACCTGGGTATGATTTCACGAATACCTTTAGCCCTATGGCTCGGTTCTTTATAGTGAATATTTTGATTTCATTGGTTATTACATGCAAATGGCAAATAAGGAATGTGGATGTAAACAATGCATTCTTAAAAGGTGACTTAAGTGATGATGTCTACATGCAACAAATTCATGGTTTTGAAGAGCGTTCCACTGATGGAGCTATCTTGGTGTGTAAATTAAAAAAGGCGTTGTATGGATTAAGACAAGCTCCAAGAAATTGGTTTCTTAAGTTATGGGAATTTTTACTTAGCTTAGGGTTCAAGTCTTCAATGGCATACTCTTCGTTGTTTATTCGCAAAGATTGAAGTGAAGTGGTATATATGGTAGTCTATGTGGATGACATTCTCATCACAGGGAGCTCTCAGCTGGAGATCGATCAAGTAATTCATGAGCTGCATGAAAAGTTCTCCTTAAAAGATCTTGGACAACTTAAGTTTTTCTTGGCATGGAGGTGCATAGATCATACAGTGGTTTGTTTCTTTGTCAGAAGAAATTTATCACTGAATTGCTGCAAAAGACTCGAATGCTTGATGTGAATCTTGCTTTTACTCCCATGGCAACAACAACTAAACTTAGCAAGAATGACGGGGAAGTGTTAAGCGATCCACAACAGTACTGAAGTGTAGTAGGGGTACTTCAATATATTTGCCACACTAGACTAGATGTCTCATATGCAGTTAACAATGATGCACAATTTTTACAAGAGCCCACTGAAGTACATTGGCTAGTTGTCAAGCGAATTTTACGTTATCTACGAGGATCGTTAGAGGCCGATCTTTGGTTTTCAGCTCAAGTACAAAAAATGATGGTACTTAATGCTTCCTTAGATTTTGATTGGGGCGGAGATGTTGATGACAGAAGATCAAAATATGCGTACTGTTTATACAATGAGAGTAATCTACTGGCATGGAGTTCGAAAAAACACCGGGTTGTATCTAGATCCACTACAGAAGCTGAGTATAGGATTCTTGATGATTTTACATCTAAGGTTGTATGGGTAAAGGTTGTTTTACACGAAATGAAAATTGCTTTGACTGAAGAGCCTAAAGTTTGGTGTGATAACACCAGTGCGGTTGCTATGGCTGCAAACCCTATTTTACATGAAATAGCAAACATATCGAGCTAGACACTTTGTGCAAGAAAAGGTTGCAACACATGAAGTCCAAGTCAACTATGTTCCAACTAACAACCAAGTTGCAGATATTTTAACAAAACCTCTTCCATTAGCCAAGTTCGAATTGTTTAGGAGCAAGCTGTGTGTTTTTGAATTTAATGAAGTTTGTAAGAAGTAGGGTGAATGTTAAAACTATATATGGTTAGGCAGTCAGATTCATGTGGCTAAGTAGTTAGTTGGTTAAGCTGTTGCAACAGCTCTGTGGTAGTTAGGCCGGCTCTCTTTTGATTCTTTAAATAGCTACCTTTTCTATGTAATTGTAAGCTTATGAAATATACAAGTTTACATGTTTTATGTACGTTCTTTCTATAGTTAACAATCACTCGATCAACCTACTTGAAACAAAATTATATATATAATATCTCAAATTTTATGGTATGTTAATTATATCCAATAATTTAATAAGCATTAATAGAGTATTTAGGGTCACATATGTTAAAAAACTCACTATTTTTCATGTTCATCATCATGAGCATTCAATCACACATATGGCCTAATTATAGCATGATCATCCCTTTTTAAGCAACCTTGTTCATTAACAAATTAGTTGGATGCCATGATCATGATATCATCCCTTCTTAAATGTGTTTAATTTTAAAATTAAATAAAATCTTTTAAAGATAAAAATCGGCAGCAAAAGATTTGATATTTTGAATAAATATTAAACATCTTTAATTAGTTGGATGCCATGCCTTTATAAGGTTTAATTTAAAACTATCCGTCATAGAATATATATTGCAACTTGCAAGGTATGTCATTCAAATGTGTTCTTTTATGTGCAACATACAAATTTCTTTTGAATTGAAACATCGACATGCGCTTAATTAATTACTAAAAGTAATCCTTTTCGGTCAATTAATTCAAAGGATTAATTGTTTGTTGGTTCTTGAACAATATATATTTTCTGCCAGTTTGACTCCTGAGATTAGTTAAGAGTATTAGTTAATTGCTAATATTGTTTTAAAATCAAAATCATTATATGCGATCATAACACCCAATTAATCAAACGAAATATGTTTAACGTGTAATCGTGGATGCTATGAAATTTTATAACTCGATTTTGTGCAACAACGTGGAAAGTAAGATGAAATAAAAAATCAGATTCGATTGATTAGAGTATAGCAATTTGGTAGGGAATTGCAGTATAAATATAAATGGAATGGATGAGGCAAATGGTAAGCAAAGTTTTTCTTATACAAACTGCAAATTGGCAAGTAGTAAAAAATAATATTTGTTATTCAAACTGAAATGGATTCAATGGGGAAGATGAAGAGCTCGTGGGACAAGTACATTGAAGCACTTCCAAAGCTGGAGTCTCGCAATATGTTTACGCCTCTAAGGCCCATGAATATACCCATTGCAGGAGAAGGAGAAGGAGAAGTTCAAACCAAGTTCGATGAAGATGAATATGAAACATACGATGAGATTCAGCCTTGGGATCGACTTGCTTCTCAAATTGAAACTATTTTAATGGTAGATTTAAACTTAACCATGCCTCCATTGTTGACGGTCGTAAACTCGCTGATCGACTTGGAGGAGTTGAACTATTTGTGTATAAACACTGTGACATGTCTCATCTCGATGCACTCCAGTACGTTGTTTTCTGTGTTAACATGCTTTCTTTGGATCATTAACAAGTTATTACTACTACCATCTAATCTAACATATGAAAATTTCGCAGAACAAACTGTAAAAATAAGAGGAAAAGTGGTGGTGACTGATAGGTAAGCCGGCCGTTTCTTCTTTCAGTTTTAGTTTCTGTTTATCTGTCTTCTGGTATTACGAAACATCTTGCTAAATCTATCTTCTATTAACATCTTGTTCAGTATGGATGGAGACATTTCACCCATGGCTGAGCTGGCTCAGCTTCGCAAGAAGCATGGGTTTTTGTGGGTCCTTGATGATGTAAGTCCTTCCTTATTCAATTATAAAGAATCCATTGATTATAACTTTGTGGATCAATGTTGTACTTTTTCAGGCTCATGGAACATTTGTTTGGGGGAAGAATGGAGGGGGACTAGCTGAGGAATTCAACTGTTAGTACGATGTGGACATATCCATTGGCACATTGAGTAAGGCAGCATCTTCTCTGGGAGGGTTCGTAACTTGCAGGTAATTAATGGCTTTAGCATATATATATGTTCAAAGTGAATCATACAAGTTTATCATCTCTGAATGGTAAATCAACAGCAAAATCTGGAAACAATGGATTCAATCAAGGGGTCGCTCTTTCATAGTTTCAACAATTGCACCTGTTCCCTTAGCTGCAGCCTCTTATGCATCGGTGGTGGTTGCAAAGAAAGAAACATGGCGTAGAAGGGAAATCCAGAACCGAATGAAGGAGTTGCATGCTCTCACTGGAATCCCAGTCAAAAGCCAGATAGTATGCGTCATTATTGGAGATATGATGCAGGCTATCAAAGCCAACCAGTTTGTTTTCTTTCTCATTCTCTTATCTCTCACCTTTGTTTCATATCTTCTCTCTTCATTCTACACCTTCCTCTGATATGCCATTGATTATATGTACTCAGTGAATTGCTTAAATCCGGCTTCTATTGCGTGGCTGTCGGACCACCAGCAGTCGCTCCGAATACAGCAAGGTCTGAAAACCTTACCACCGCATAAGTTATTCACATATACAATCTTTACTTATTTATTTTTCATTCAGGTTACGGTTGACTCTCACTGCTGTACACACATCGGAAGATATAAAAAGGCTTGTTGCAATAATATCAAAGTACGTCAAGTTTCAAGTTCCCAGCAGCAGCGATTGCTCCGATTATATAAGTCCCAGACTTTAGCTTATGCGTTGTATCGTAAACATGGGCTTCGTTATTGTTTTATCATCAAACAAAATAACAATGGTCTTAAACGGCTAGACCTAAGTACTTGAGTTTCTCAAGCTGCTTTGTGTTTGTGTAATGCCTTCCTTGACTTTGGACCTTTCCATACAATGATTGTTTCAAGGCTAAACTATTCACTTTTGTTTCATTTTTTATTGTATAGTCACTTGATCAAAAAAAGTTAATATATTGTCACTTTTGTTTTATTTTAATTAAGATGGAGTCACTTGAACGTTAACTGTTGTAAGTTTTGTTTTGTGTAATGCCTTCCTTGACTTTGGACCTTTCCATACAATGATTGTTTCAAGGCTAAACTATTCACTTTTGTTTCATTTTTTATTGTATAGTCACTTGATCAAAAAAAGTTAATATATTGTCACTTTTGTTTTATTTTAATTAAGATGGAGTCACTTGAACGTTAACTGTTGTAAGTTGGATGACGAAGCATGATAGTAAAAAGATTCAATTTTTATTTAAACCCTTATACTTGAGATAAATTGCAAAACATAGATCTTTTTATAAACCCAAAATAGTTTAGGAATAAAATATCAATTTACCCTTTCTATATGTTTTCTTCCGCTTTCTTTTCCGCCGTTTCCCTTGCTTTATTTCTAAAGCACTGCCGCTTCCCCTGCTTTATCTCCAAAGCACTGCTTCATCTTTAAGTAAGCTGCAAAATCCATTTTCATGGCTTTAAACACTAACAAATTTCTTGAGATTAATGGCACCAAATGTTTTGGTTTAAAGAAGTTCCTAGTGTTTTATCGAGGAAGAGCTGTCAAAGGGATTAAAACGGATTGGATGATGCATGAATTTCGACTCCCTTCAATCTCGAATAATACCCTTTCTGCTAATGTAACTGATAATGACTGAATCCATTAATGTTTGTTGTTTTAGGAACCATCTAACATTTGGCTTGTTTTCATTACAAGATTCGTGGGCTATTTGTAGGATATTCAGAAAGATCGATTTCATGGCTCAAAGAGCTATTTCTCGTACTTTGATACCCTTATTATCATTTAATATACTCCACAATTATGAGCGAACTATAATGCACTTCATAGAGGATATTGTTACACAAATGCTCATCTATAGGTACACAAAAACGACCCCTAAAGAAGAGTACGTCTCTATCGCGTAACTCAAAACCTGGGGCCTTGCCTCAGTGGACTTGCTCCACGCAAGCCCTTAGGCAATTATCTGAACTCTGCAACCTCTTAATTTCATATATCTATAACCTCTTAACTTCATATACTAACTCAGGTTCTACTTGAAGTTTGGCCAATAACCCACCATCACTAGACGAGCTCAAGCGTGATAACAAAGCTCATAACTTAGACATTGAGTTTTTGCTCAAAGCATCAACAACAACATTTTCTTTCTCGGGTGGTACTCGATTACACAGTTGTAATTCTTTAACAACTCATCCTACAGGCGTTGTCTCAAATTCAACTCCTTCTACATGAATAGATACTTAAGGCTCTCGTGGTCGATAAAGATTTGGCACTTCTCATCGAACAACTAGTGTCACTAGATCTTAAGCACAAAGACTATTGCTGCAAGCTCTAAATCATGGGTAGGGTAATTACGCTCATGTGGCTTAAGTTAACGAGATGAGTAAGCTATCATATTTCCTTCTTGCATAAGAAATCACCCAAGGACGTTTAGCGAGACATCGTTGAACACTATAAAATCCTTTTCTAATTCCGATTGAGTCAAAATTTGAGCTTGAGTTACGATGAATTTCAAATGTTCAAAGTTTTTTCATTGTTTCTCATCCTTTACAAAGTGAACTCTCTTTTGAAGTACTTTGGTCACAGGGGCAACTATTATTGAGGAACCCTTATCAAACTGACGATAATACTTGATAACTTCCTAAAAAGACTATTTTTAAGTCCCTTTTCAATTAAGTTATTGTTTGTTTAAAAGCTCATTTTAGTCATTTTAGGATCATGTAGTTGCATTGCATATAATTGCATTAGTGGTGGTATTGCTATTTTATCTTGTAAAGGTGTTATATGAGGGAAAGGTGTGGTTGTTTATGTTGTGCAGGAAATATCAAGAAAAAGGTTGCAATGGGAAGGAATGTCGCGACATCACACGTTGCTGAAACATATTGAAATTCCTTGGCATTTCTGGCTTAGAAAAAGACAAAAGGATATTTTTGTAAAACGAGAGCTGGCAAGGCACGTGTCTAATGGTTATAACTGCATGCTAGGGACCACTGCCACCTGGGAGGATAAGATTCACGCTCAAGGAGTGATTCTAGGGGTATGATGGGTAATTGGAATGTTAAAGCCCATTATTACCATTGGATATTATATTTTTATATACATCGCATATGGGAGAGAAAGTGAAGAGGAAGAATTAACCATCTTCAGCTAGATTTTCTCACCTTATTCTCTTATCCTTCTTCTCTTTCTCTAGTGGCATTCTTCCATTTACAATCTTCAAGGAGTGGAGAGCTAGGCGTCCGAGAGGAGCTAGCAAGCTAAGGCAAGTCGTGGTGGTTGAGAAGAGATCCGACTGCACGCGTCGAAGGCTTATTCTCCCTTCCCCTTTACTGTTATTTTCCATTTTATATTAGGTTGTTGGAACGAATGAATTTCATGTTTTGTTTCATGGATGATTTGAACCCCACCATGAACTAACCTTATTTGGTGGGGTTGATTTTATGGATGTTTGATAGTATTTTAATGGTAGATTTAAATTTATCTTTGGCATTTAATTGTTTTGCTTATGAATACTTCATCGTCTAAGTTTGTAGGAGGCATAAGACTGTCCATTACTTAGATGAAGGCTAGGTGTTCGAGAGAAACTTACCTATTAATACTTATAGTATTCGAGAGAAAGACAAGTAAGATTCACATAAACAATGGGGTGTAATATTTTCTTAAGCTTAGAACCGGCATAGTAATACTATATCCTAATCCCTTAGTGCTTGAGAGAGAATGAGATAGGATTTCAACGACTATGAGGGGTAGTTTTTATCAATAGTGTAGGTTGCCATAGTTGAGACTGAGAGGAGAAGTCGTGGCATTCTATTCTATTAGGTTTATTTGATTAGAGATTACGGGAGCATTTTCAGCAAACCCTGTCGAGCAAGTGGAGCTTAGATAAAACAAATCTTCTTGAGGGATAAGTTTTAGCATCCTTAAATCAATCTCTACCATTCATTCCCATGGAAGCTTGTTGTGTGAGGATTATCAAAATATCATTTATTTATTATTTTTATCGTTTTGATTTGCCTTGACATTCCTATCATTTTCAACATTATAATATGCTTTTACCACTACATTTCCATTTGCTACCCCCATCAAACTATCAATCCATATCCACCAACATACACTTTTCATTGTCGTGACATTCTCCATTAGTACATATCATCAGTAACTATACTTAGATAGAGTAGTGCTTTACTTTTGTTAAACTTTGTAATTTCCACCAATCCATGTGGAGACGATACTCACTCATCACTTTATTACTTGAGCTATTATGTATACTTGCACATTATTTTTGTATTATTTTATAGTACTCACAACACACAAAAAGTTTTTGGCGCCGTTGCCGGGGATTGACAGCGTGAAGTTAATTAGTTTAGCCAGAGCATTTTTATTTTTGCATCTTTGTTTTTTCTTGTATAGTTTACTTGATATTTTTGCTTTATTCTTTTTCAGTTTATTTAATGTATGCCTAGAAGATATTCTGAAGAGCCATTAGAACCGATAGAATCTGAGATTAAAAGACTCTTTAGACAAAGATGTGCTCAACGTGTTCAGAAAAATATGTATCAAAATGGAAATCAAGGCATTGGTCAAGATGATAGAAATAAGAATGTCGAGGCATTATAAAATGTTGGACCTGTTGATAGGCCTCGTGTTATTCATGATCATTTAAATTTGATGCTAGATGATTTGAATCCTGGAATTGTGGCACCCGAAATTCAAGCTGCACATTTTGAGCTTATACGAGTTATGTTTAATATTTTGAATTCTATAGGGTAGTTTGGGGGCATGCCAACTGAAGATGTCAGGCAACATATTCGCAATTTTTTGGAGGTTTGTGATTCTTTCCGCCAAGAAAGAGTGTAAGAGGATGTGCTGAAATTAAAGTTGTTTCAATATTCTTTGCATGATCGAGCAAGGGCTTGGTTGAGTGGTGTTCCATCCGATTCGATAGAAACATGGGCCGATCTTTGAAAGAGTTTCTTATTGCGGTATAATCCACCAAACATAAACACTCAGCTAAGGAACGACATAACATCCTTTCGCCTGGGCGACGATGAATCTATGTATGAATGTTAGGATCGTTACAAGAGTTTTCTTTGAAAGTGTTCAAATAATGGTTTTCACGATTAAACTCAAGTAGTTATGTTTTATAATAGAGTCAATGCACCAACGAGGATGATGCTGAATACCTTGGCAAATGGTACATTGTTGGATAAATCACCTACTGAGGCGTTTGCTATTTTTGATAGAATTACCAATATTGACTATCAATTTCCTTCCTCAAGGCTTGGGAGTGGGAGAAAAACACCTAGAACATTTGAGTTAGATACCAAGGACTCGGTGCCCGCTCAACTCTCAGCTATCACTAATATACTGGAAAATTTACAACACTCCACTAATGTAAAAGAAGTGAAAGCAGCTAGCTTGGCATGTCTGTTATGCCAAAGCAATCATCACGAGAGTGAATGCCCAACCAACCATGAGTCCATCAACTTTTTAGGTAATTTCAATCGAGGCAATAATAATCCTTATTCTAACACTTATAATACAGGATGGCGTCTGTATAACAATTTCTCATAGGGGAATCAAGGAGCCTACAATCCTAGTCAATCCACTAGGCAACAGAATCATAATGATCTCAAGGCTACCAAAATTCTATGCCATGGCATAATACCAATAAAGGAGCTTCATCTTCAGTGAGCATTGGTTTATTGGAAGCTACAATTCAAG